GCAAAATGTTACCGAACCATCTGAGGTAATGTACAGCGATTTCCCCTTCCAACCAAACGACTGTAAGCATCCAACAAATCTCATCGTTGCTCACCGGAAGTTCCCACCAGGCACGAGCAATCCCGTAGACGAACTACCAGTAGTTCACCGACCCGGTTGTGGCCTCGGATGTTGGCTTTTCGCCCCCTCACTTTAGTGAGAAAATATCCGCCACGAGAAGGTAGTCAGTAGGGTTTCCACAGCAAAGGGTATGTGAGATGTCTGGTGAGGCTCAAGGGAAGGATGACCAGCCACAACCGGGGATACCCACTCCCGACTTTACTGAGGCTTTCGACAGAGTTTATGTAAAGTCGCTTATATTTAGTGACAGCAGTTGTTCAGTCGAGTGTTTACCCTAACTCTCTTTTAACTAGAAGTTGTCATTTCACTGCACAATCCTTGCTTTCTCTGGCACAGAATACCTTCTTACACTGTACCTGGTTGCGCTGCTTTGTTGCGACTGATAGGTGTTGAAGACTGAGGAATTTGCTCGGACTTGTGCAAGCTAATACATTTTCTATCATAAAGGTTCGTCCCATTTACCAGATTATAACAAGAGAGCTCGCAACGATACAGTCTAAACCGAAACTCATGTGGTGAAAGGTGTTTACCTTTTTGTAATCTGCGCAAATGATAACAAGATAAAATATGTACTCAAAGAAACACCATATGTTTTATGTTTTTCTCACATTTGACTCATAGTTAATTGTTAGTAGGGGTGTGGGACAATTTATAGTGATTGATTAAAACTGGTCGTCCCCCAGACTTTTTCAAGCACATTCCTCAGCCATACACACGGAAGCATTAGACTCGAGTTTCGCTCTTATCAGAGCTCACCAGTCGTGTATATCCACCATCTCGTCCGGGATTTGAACTTTAGATTCATCGCTTGGAAGGTGTGTGTTCTATGTTTTTCCATGGTGATTTCCCTAAGACTGTCGTTTGTTTGCTTGGTACAATTTGGCTTTAAAACCAAATTGTTTTTCGACCTTTTTTAATCATGGCTTTCACGTACACATTCGTTTACTCCCCGTAAGTCGTATGCGCTGGTGAAACGGTCGGATCTTTTTGTTTAATCTCTTTTCAATGTTATCCATATCGTAAATGCGTACAACAGTAGGTAAGGTAGGACGAGTATTACTGCCATCTATCGTGGTGTGTTTTGATAGCCCCGTTTTAGGCGATTCTAATGTTACGTAACTATAGTGCAAGGAAGAAGTATCTAAAATGCGCTAATCCAGTAGGTAAGAACCCCTGATGTATCATACACGGTATGTTGTTTTACATTTACAAGCTCTGATGGAAATCTAGAAGCTCCAACATAAGTGAACAAAAACGTACTCTGTCCCCATAGGTTCCGCTGCCGAATAATCTCGGTAGTATGGCTCGAGCTAGGCCACAGTCACCATCCGGCGATTCCGACGAGGAGTCTTCGTCTGACAGTGACGAAAATGACAGTGATGACGAAACGGATGATGGTGATGACCAGGAGGACGATAAAGGGAAATCAAACAAGGAGCAAAACGATGAGGATCCGTTTCCTGCCGAGGACGAATGGATCACGGAGCAGAATTTTGACCAAAAGGCTATGAACAACTTTGGGTTGGGCAACAGCTTTATGTAAGTTTTTTTAAACAGATGAATATGATCAATGTAACATGCTCAGTGCTGTTCGTCTACCATCAAACAAAGAATGTACTTAATCTTTTAAAGACACATTGTACAGAAGAGTATGAATAAAACGTTCAAGATTGAACAAGCTTGCTTATTCTGCCTTCAAAGGTGTATACACTGTTCAGTGGAGGATAGATAACATGAGG